CCTATGAAAGAGGAACGCGCAGCATGTGGCCCCTAATAAAAGCGTCAAGTTATATATCATTCCAGTGATAATTACTTTGATGGTGCGCGTTGAGCAAAGAGGTGCTCCGGAGGTCCAGCCACCGTGGAGGACGTCCCTCTGTCGGTGGATGAAGGGAGTGGTCTAACCGGGAGAGAAGTCAGTGTTTGGCTGCTGCTTTTTTCTTTTTTTTCTCCCCTTCCTCCCTCTCTCTCCTGCTCTCTCTCTCCCCGAGCACCGCTTCCCTAAACGGGGCACAAGACAATAACACATCACTCTGGACAATCGGTGACAAAAACAACGCAGCGCTCCAAAATGCATGCGCACACGCACAAGGCGACGCACGAAATCCCTGCTGCACATGGCCCGAGCAGCCAAACAATAGGCATCACACAACCATTAGACTCTTTGCACAGCCAGCGCACAACTGCACAACCTCAATTACCTCCAACCCCCCCCCCTCCTCAATTTGCTCCTTTTACTTCCTGCGCCATATAAATATTTTTATTCACTCAGTCACCCCTGCTCGCCTCAGCTTCATTTATTCACTCCTTCACCCCCTCCTTTTTTTTTTTTTTTTGTTGCACTTGTGCCATAGAGAATAAACACTGTTTGATATGGACCCTCCCACACACACACACACACACTGTCACCCATTCACCAACTCATCCTCTCATCCATTCCCTCCCAGCTCAGGAAAAACACTCACTCATTCACTCCCCCTCCCCTCCCCTCCCTCACTCCTTAACTCACCCATCCTCACACAAAAAAACACACACTCCTCACCTCAGTGGACACAGGTGGAGGAAGAGTGACTCCAACTTGATTATTGTTTATCAGCTGCAATCTAGCAACCAAGCAGGCAGATTGGGTGTAATTGTAATTAAGGTGGATTTCAATGTGTGACAGGGGACACTTTGGAATGGGTTGGTTCCCTCAGTAGTTAGAGGAGGACCTCCATCAAGCAGCCGGCTTTGTCGTGCACCATTGATGACGAGGAGGATAGAAAATTTGGTTATTATCCCCCAAAATGGTCCCCCTAATAATGCCACAAAAGTCAGGATGTGTGTGTGGGGGGGAGAAAATTAAACACTACTTCAGTGGCTGTGACTTTCACATACGAATCAAAATGGCGTTGCAGGGAGGGACATGAGACCTGATATTAAAATAAGAAATAATCCAGCAGAATTATTTGCAAAGTTTGTAATCTGGGTGGGTATTTACTGCCGTGCACGTCCACCTCACATGAATATAATAAAGATGGGGGGACCTCATGTGGGAGCTGTTTATTGCCTGTGGTCCTGATGCGCCAGTTCCTGAACAAAAGAAAGCCATCACTGCGCCCTATATTGAAGGACTTTGGTTTCGGCTGCGGTGCCCCCCCCCCCTCCACCAGCACCACCGCCACCCTCCTCTTCCCCGCAGCTGGACGCACACCTGGACACCCCACTCGGCTTTGACCCCTGCCTCAAACGCGGTGATCAGTTTTATTAACCGCAATCACAATCCCTGATCTTTGGAGGTGTTGGCAACTTTCCTGACAATGGAGCTCGAGTGGCGACTGCCATAGTGACAGTTATAAGCAAATCTGCCCCCAAAACCGGCGATCAAAGCAAACCTACCCGCCGCGACACGACCCGAATCAACCCCCGGTACCGTCCCGAGTGTCACCTGTGACTTACATATTGTGACATTTCATTTATAGGAGGTTTAACAGTAAATAATCTCGACCACGTCACTCAAAGTCAATGGCCGGACTGTGTTAGTTGGGAAAATGTATCGATGTATTAAAAGGAAAAACGGGATCCTGCGCCTGCCGAACCTCGCGCATCGCACCGGGCAAAGATTCGATTTGGATTTGCGTCGCGTGATTCGGCCGCCGGTTCCGTCCGTTTGGGTCAATTTAACGCGAATTGTGCAAAATTGTTCACGGCACGCGTTACTTCCAGCGGGTTTTCCAGGAATAAAAGTTGTTCGCCGGCGCCGATCCGGCGGAACAAGTGTGTCCCCGTGAAGCCCAATGTCTCTGCTTTCAGCCCATGAGGTTCCGTGGATCACAGCTCATCCGCAGTTTTTATATTTGTCGCGAGTTGGAGGATGAAGAAACACAAACGGGACGGCGCCAGTTCCATGGAGTCCGCTAGATCAGCTGCTGGCAGTTGGTGTTCTCAATCACGTCCGCAGATAGGCTTCATAGGCTCACTGAAGCGCCTGTGGAATAAGACACTTAAGTGATCCGGTGTGCAGACGCGACACTTTGTGCGGATGATTATATTAATGTTATTTTTCTTTTAAAAACACGGCTTGACATTGTCTGATTACAAGGACTTTGTGGGAAGAGAGAAAAGGAAAAAGCGTTTTTTCTGGACGCGCATTTATTCCGCTCTTCCTGACGTTCCAGTGCACCGAGCCGGCTGAAATTACACCTCCAGGACTTGTTTGTTAACTTATTATTAAGAAAGAAAAGTCATCATGGCAGAGACGTCGGCAGCTCCAGCCAAAGCCAAGAAGACATCCAAGCCCAAGAAACCTGCCTCTCATCCCAAGTACTCGGAGATGATTAGAGCCGCTATTGTTCACGACGCGAGCCGGAGCGGAGCGTCCCGTCAGTCCATCCAGAAGTACGTGCGCAAGAACTACAAGGTGGGAGACAACGCCGATGTACAGATTAAAATGGCCCTGAAGAGGCTGGTGGCGGACGGGACGCTGCGCCACACCAAAGGCATCGGCGCGTCCGGATCCTTCAGGCTGAACAAGCCGGAGGAAACCAAAAAGACCACCAAGACAGCGGCGGTCGTCAAACCCAAGAAGGCTGCGAAGCCCGCAAAACCCAAGAAGGCGTCCAAACCCAAGAAGGTGCACAAGACGCCGGAAAAGCCCAAGAAGGCAGCTGCAAAGAAAGTGAGGAGGGTCGCGAAAAAGGCGACGCCGGTGAAAGCCAAAAAGGCACCAGTTAAGAAAGCCAAGCCAGCCAAGGCCAAACCAAAACCAGCAAAGAAAGCAGCGAAGCCCAAGGCAAAGACGGCCAAAAAGGGAGCCAAATCAGCAAAAAAGAAGTAAAGAAAAAAAAGAAAAGAAAGGACACTATGAGAAAGACAAAGTCACTGTAAATACTTAAGGAAATGTTTTCGTATATGTATTATTTTTGTAAGGTCTCATGCAAACTTATGCTGTTTCTACCAGTAGTTTTCTCTCCATTGCACTATAGCCTGAAGAAGCTGTAGAAATACCTGTGAGCATTTTTATTCCGTTAATAATAATAATACCGTTAATTTCTGTCTGATCCTTGGATACGTGTAAGCTCGACTGAAAGTGTAAATACAGTCCAACTAACTATAGTTATTGTTAGTGCACGGGGTCATACTGAAAATACAAATGTTTGAATGGTGAGCATTGTTGAGCCTTTACAATGTACAGACCATAGGCAGTGGACGTCAGCAAGATTTTTCCTAAAGGCTCCATAGTTGTCATTCAGCGTCCATTCTGTCAAAAAAAAAAAAAATTCTCATGTTCAGACGACTCATGATATACAAACATCCCACTGTTTCCAGTCACTTTTAAAGACTGTTGACACTACAGTTCAATAAACCTTTGTCATCTTCTAAAAAAAACAAAAAAGTGTTTGTGAACTTTATTGCGCGCATTTTACGCGTGCGTAAATGTGCTCGGTGAGGAGGACTTTCTGGGTATTTCAAAGATGGAACGTAAAGTATTATTTCCTCCATTGGGATACGTGTGTGTGTGTAGAAAGGGATATCTTTGACAAGCAAACCTCCTCCACCTGATTTTTTTTTCTCTCTAAGAAATGACAGCTATTGTGCACCAAGATGCTGCAGACAAAGTGGAGCTTCAGTGAGGTGGATGCTTTTCTCTCAGAAGGAGGCTGATTAAATATAGTGACACTTAAGAGGACTGCGAGTTATGAAGTGTTGACTATGAAATGGGCACTACATAAAAAGCAGCAGTGTTAAATATCATCAGGTTACATTAACAACTACAATCGCTCCTCTAAGTAACTTCTTTACCAAGCATCCATGGGGGGCAGAGAGGAGTTTAGTAGCGATTTAAAGTGAAGACCTGCATGCCAGAGATTATACAGTGAACAGAAATATAACACCTTCAGAGAGCTGAACAGTGATAACATGGTCAGAATATTAATTTAGTGGAGAAATGATGTGTCTTTTGTGCAGATTTGTCCTTTACAGAGGGCATAGAGGTGAACTTGGAGCTCTCGTTTACTTTCTTCACCCTGGTTTGAACACACACACTCCAAACCCAATCATCTCCTTCTCCCGTAGCGGCTGCGCATCACTGAGAAGATGCTTTCGCAGACACACCCACCGCTCGCTGTCCTGCTCCTCACCTGGCTAACAACACTGCCATCTTGTGGCGACGCGCAGGAACAGCGTCTTCACTGCAGCTGTGGGACCGAGGAGGAGGCAGCAGCAGCAGCAGCAGCAGCCAGGCTGGAGCCGAACTGATGCTGAGAGTCAAGATGACATAGAAATTACCCTCTACACACCGTTATTCATTATGATCTCTAAAGACAAGTGTAAGATCATCAAACGAACCTTATTAAACAGCTCCTGGATGAATGATCAAAGAGGAGCACTCGTTCAGGCTTGTTGTTGCTGCATTCTGAGATGTGAAGGGTAGTAATTGGCGTTGCTTCAACACGCGGTAATCCGATTTCCAAAGAACCACAGAATATCCATTTTTGAAGCAAATTATGTTTGACACAAATGTGGTTTTGTGACTAAGATCATATGGCATTCAGACCGTAATGTTTGAAACAAAGCCTCCTCTGAATCCTTCACTCGTACACACATGCAGCATTGTGTGTGTTCGCGGTCTGATATTTGTGTATAAATCCTGGGAAAATAAATATTCTGCAAATCAAGATTTAAAAAAAAAAACACCCACTGTCAAACATATTAACATTAAGCAGAGCATCCACCACATATCTTTCATCCCAACACCCGTAACATCTTTTGGGCCAAAGTCCCAACCCAGTGTGGTCTGGTCTTTTATTAAGCATCTAAATCAGTTCACTTTCAGTAAGAAAACAGCATTTTAAAAGTCACAGAAATGTGTCCTGCAGAAAGAGCAGGCCCTCGCCTGAATTAATCCACAAAACAGACACCGTCATGACCGACTCATGTTGGGAAAACGATACAATGGCAGATTATGTAACACAGTCAAACTGTATGCACAGTGGCCGGTGCATGGGAATCGAGAAATCACAAATTACTAATCTATTTCAGTCTCAATTAAAATTAATTCCATTTCAATGTGAACAGAAGAGAGGCTAATCGAGCAAAAGCAGAGATCAATCTGACCACATTTTCTCTTGCATTTTATAATCTTCACGTTTAACCTGGCTTCGTATTAGAGAAGAAGACGTTCTTTTTTTTTTTGCTTTCTTGCAAATGCAAACCGCCGTCTTCCACATAAAGCAATCTTTTTCATGCACAAAGAGAAATCTCTCCCTGCTACAGCATTTCAGTGGATGCCTTACTGCTAAAAATATTTTAACAATAAGATTCAAGCTAAATATAATGTATTCTCAGGCAAAACGGTATGCCTAAGGGGCAGGCAACATGCTACTATTATTCATTGCTGCTGGAGTTATTTGGCAAATCGGATAGGACCATCTTCTGTCGTCTCTTGGTCAAAAGGAGAAATGTTCACTTGGGATTTTCCGTGAAAGCCAATCGTTTGTTAAAAATGCGTCATGTGCTCCCCTTTGGTTCTTTAGTCTGCTCATTTTGGCATTTTTCTATTATGCTTGGGAAACACTGCATGTATATAAAAACTCTCACTATTAACACTCATCAGATGATTGAGGGGAAAGCACTGTTATCTTCCTGCATTTCTTCCCCATGATAAAGCACCTTTTTTTGGACACTAACAGTAGCAGTTCTTTGTGCATCAAGCGCAGACAGGCTAACCCCTACTTAGCCTGGTTAGATAAGGCAGCAAAAAGCTGGGCAACGGCAGCACAGGGAACAACGCGATCATCATCAGCTTCCAATTGCCTCTGGACTGTTGTGATGAGCTGACTTCAAAGTGAAGAGGTCAGACAGTGAGAATGGCAAAGATATGGAAAGTTTCCTTAGAGTCTTTAGGGTAAAAAGTATGATGATGATGATGATGGTGATGATAAGGGCTTCGTCAAGTTTAGACTGCAATGGTTCTGGATCTGGCCTCAGTGGTTTGGTCTTGATGGATGGAGCTTCAGGTCGACAAAAAAACACAATCACCCAACTCGCTGTTGGTCATTTCAGTCTGGCCACGGCTCTGTAGATAGCGAAACCCAGAACTGCAACCACAGCCGAGCCCAACGCCACTCTCAGCCAGAATGATGTGTTGCTCATGTCTGAACCATTCAGGTGTCTGGAGATTGGAGGGGGAAAAAAAAACAAAAAAGGGCAACCCAAACAAAAAAAGCAAAAAAAACAACCTTTAAAAAGCCAAAATGAGGAAAATTAAAAGCTCAAAAACGGAATTTTGGAGGTACACTAAATCACATTATTTGTCTCATACTGTACGTTGCTGCAGCACTTCCTCTCACCCTCTGTCTGACACGTTCCCTTTTAGCTCCTGTCTCTTTAAGGTCCCCGTCACAAAAAGCTCACTGTGCCCTCATTCGTCAGCTGGCTCGACAAAAGTGAGGCAATGTTGGTTACGTATTGTATCCCCAGATCTATGAGTAGAAGGATGTGGCACGGGCAGAAGCAGCTGTAGTGAAGAAATGCTGCAAGGGAGCTGCTGCTTCTTTGTTTGAGGGTGTACCAAACTTTAAGAAAATGTGCTACGTCGTGAAGTAAACAAGTGACGCAGAAAAGCCTGGACTTCACATCAGGTGTGTCAGGCAGGTAAGAAGCAGTGTTTTCGTGGGAAGGAATAACCCTCATTGCTGTGGACTGCTGTCTTTGTTGACCATTTACATCCACAAAACAGCCACGGAAATAAACTGAAAGCTTAAAAAGCACAACACTGGCTCTTTAAACAAGTGTCTATCTTCCTTTACTTCTCTACCTATCACCAGAACACCAGAGCAGACTGTGGAGACAAACACACTAGATTTCTAATCTTTTTATCCTTCTTCTAAAATCTTCTCCATGTCAGTGACTGATTTTTGTATTTTCGTCATCTGTAGCAAACCCTGATTCTCCGTGAGTAGTCGTAGATTGTGGAACTGAAACGTACGGGTACATTGCTGCGCAGGCAAGCCTGGTGTAGATGTTCTTGCTGGTGGAGTCGAGTAACAGGCTGGAGAAGGGCAGCGGTGGAGGCAGCCTGTGTTTATAACAGAACTCTGCTGGAGCCATCCCGTGGAACTGCTTGACTTCAGAAAGGTCCACCTTGGAAGCAACCAGCACACATGGGATGTTGCTCTCCATGTAGTGTTGCTGAATAAGAAATGGGATAAAGAGTTTAGTTGAGAGAGAAGTTGTTGGATTTTCTAAAGGGGGCCCTACTGAAATTCAGATAACTTATTGTAAAACATGACTGTGAACCATTGCATTTAGTGGTGTTTAAGAGCTTGACAGTAATTAAGTTAAATCACAAGTCGTCCTTAAATGGAGCTTTTGATTCAACTAGCAATCAGAATAATAACAAATATTCCTCCTGCCAACACCATGATCAGAAACGAGACCCCACTTTGGAACACTTTTGAAAATGTGGTTTAAATTCTTTAACATTCTTGTGACATTAAAAAAAATGAAATCCTGATGACTTCTCACCAGTGTCTCTCTTCCACTGCTTCATCTCAGTGAGCACCCTCAACCATTTCTACCCTTTATGCAAGTGGTGCATCTTTCCAGAGGGAAACCTTTTTTGTTATGAGATCTTGCTACCAGGAGATTCTGAATCGTGGCAGGAGCTGGAAGTAGTCTGCCTTCTCCTGTTTAATAACTGACAAATTATATTTACAGATTAAGTTTTGTTTTGCTAGAATAAAAATCAATAAAGTAATAATGATGATGGAAGCAGGTCAATGTATCTCTCCCTTGCTATTCCATTTATTATTATAGATTATCTAGCCCTGGCAATTTTCAGCTCCCAAATTATTTTTGCTTTTTGTAATTACATGTATGGACAGTAGAGACTGCTAAAGACTGTAGAGAGAGTATTAATGCATGAACAACCAGGCTGATTGTGTGCAACCACCAGCGCACAATACAGTAAAACAGATGGAAACCGATCTCAATGACACAAAGTAAAGCAAAAACAAATGAACACTTCATCCTTTAAATGCGCCTGTAATGTTTTCGTGACTGACCTTGTATATGCTGGCACAATAGTCGAAGGAATGCGGGTCACTGCTGTCATACATGAGACAAGCTACATCACAGAAGGCATCTGATGCCTTCAGGAACCCTGTCTCCACATCTACCTCATTGAGCTGCAGAAGAAAGACAAGAGTGTGGTGCTCAAGCTTTATCCAGGGTCAGAGGTCAAGGGTCAGCATTAGGATCAGCATGGGAGCTACTTACGATAAGGTACTTCTCCTGGTTGCTGACTTGGACAGTATTTATGACATATGGGGAGAAGGCACTGCTGGAATTTCCCTTAGTCTATGAAAACCAAAGGGAGAAAAAAATGAATGATGGACACTAATATATCACACCTTAATCAGCAATATGTGACATTATTCGCTCCAGATCAACTGATGGTGCCATACCGCAATGTTGCGGCCCACAAAGGCCTGGAGAAAGGCTGTCTTGCCCGTTCCTCGCGGTCCAATCACCTTGCAGAGAAAAACTGTCCGCTGTGTCTGGCGCTTTTCCAGGTCTGCCTCTTTCTCCCGTGTCACTGTAAAGCATGCAAATTGAGAAAATAAACACAATATGCAAACTGGCATTTTCTTAATTTTCCAGGCAGTATTCGTATCTCTGAGGTTGGAGGCAAACATCTGCATGAGAAAGGAGTCAGCAGAGGACATAATTGTTGCACCAGCTTAGAACGATCAGCCTGCCACAGGAGCTTGAGTTCTTGTACGTGGCAAGAAGAGTCACTTCGTTTGTGTTTCATTCATCTTAGCCACCAAACAGAACATAACAGGTTACAGACCAGCTTGTAGAAAACGTCACTTATGCTGACCAGTTTCTTTTTGAGGAATTGTGGCTGCGCCATCTAAGATCTCATCAAAAAAAAAATTAAAGTGCTGTTATAAACAACAATGACAACAAATGATAGGAAGACTCCAACTGCAAAAANGTTAGTGACAGACACAAACCCACACACTGTAAACAAGACAAAAGCTACTAACACACAGGCATGTGGGACAATCCTATCTGTGTTATGATTGTGTTCATTTTAACATGACACGATGAATGGGAATGGGAGAGACAATTTGAAATCACCACTGATATCAATACCACTGCTGGAAAGCCTGTCGACTGCTGTGCAACCCTCCTTTCCATCTCTGTGCTAATTATAAGCACAGGCACATTAGCACGCTGTATGGACTGGTGCAATGATCAAACCTGCTCCCCACCTCCGACACACAAACATTCGGCTGAATTAGATGGTTCGGATGGCTCACTGATCCGCCGAATGAATACCACAACAACAATAACGCAGGACCAGACTCCTTAATACAATAGTTCATTACAAGTAACGCCAGCACAAAGGCTCATTTCATGTTAATTTGATGCATAATAAAGAGACGGCATGCAGGGAGCCGAGCAAGATGATCAGAACGTATAAATGATGGAAAGTGAACTGTTGGTGTGGGCGGCAGACTTTCTTGAGATCCCCCTCCACCCCTTAAAAAGGTGTTTTCTCTCTGCACAAACCCGCAGTGACTCCTCCTCCTCCTCCTCCTTCTCCTCAGGACAATGGCGATAAGGGGGGGAAGCAGCAAGAGGGACGTAAATCTCAACTCATAATAAAAGTGAAAAAAAGGCTCCGTAGTCGACTGTGGCGGAGGATGCCAGCGAGGTTGTGACCTGGTGACATCCCGGCTAACAGATCGCGACTGCAGGAGGGATGTTTCTCGTCTCGTGCTCCTCTGCCTCTGTGACAAACAGTGCCTCTGCCTGTTTAAATATCATGATTGCACCAGATGTTTGGTTGGTGCAGATGGGAATCCTCTTCAAAGTGAGGAAAGGTTGATAAATATCTGAACCTCCACGTTACAGCGATGTGTCTTGTGCTTTATTGGGTCAAATGCAGGCTGCTGACTATATGAAGCCAGGAGTAACTGCTGTATTTATCCTAATGGATTGGGCCGAGGCCACCTTGAACATGGCAGAGCTCCCAGACTTTCCCTTTGTCACCTTCCATTATGCCCATCTGACACACTCTTGCTTAAACAAAACCTTAACAATGACCCTGCGAGTCTATAGAAACGACAGGATTCCCTTTTCTGTGCGGAAAGACTGAAGTCACTCCATGGGGTTCTTTGTTCAACTACTAATCAATGTTAAGAATTAATTTGCCTCCAATACTCTAGTTGTGAGCATGAATAAGACGAATCTAATTATGAGGTCACTGCTGGAGGATTTGCAAACTGCAATAAGTGAGACAGATTGAAAGAATAGGCAAAATGAAACGGGATTCAACTGTTGCCTTGGTAACCTCAAAGGACTTCCATCAAACAATGATACACAAGTACCATGAAGTTTAAAAAAAAAAAATCCAGTGCAATAAGAAAATAAAGCAGAACGCCCTCCTAAGAAATATTTCCAGCCTTTTTACACATTGGGAAGCTGAGCAAGAGGGCAAAGTCGACATAATCTCTGCTTTTTATTGAGAAAACCTATATAATATATAGTGTATGCATCAATATTCAATCAGACAATGTTAAATGAAAACGCTCAAATGGCCTTGATGGTGCAAAATAGCACTAGAGACAGGTAAACAACACTCCCAAATGTATGAATGAGATGCCAACTAGGCTCACAACCCCACCAAGGGTCATGCCAGTATCATTGTTTCCATTACACGGCCACCAAGGGACATTATACAGATGACTGACAGAGCGAGATAACCCTCCCAGAAAATACTGTCTCCGCTGCCTGAAGCATCCCCTCCTGAATGCTCTCTCTTGAGCCTGACTAAACCCTTCATGTTCTATTCACCTCTGGTGGATGGATGCAGACGGCCGGACAAACCCGGGCATCCGCCTCCTCTTTAACAAGGCCTGAGAGCAGTAGGCAAAATACTGGTCCAGCCTCTGCGTGAGAGCCGGCAGAGAAAAGGAAGGCCTTTGAGGGAGGCAAAACGTACATTAATTAGACTGCCAGTCTGCACTTTTTCCTCACCAGCTTAATGACCTTAAGGTCCATAAGGCAGGTGTTTGTGAGAATAGTTGTCTTTCTGTCGGTGAAACTGGGATAAAAGGGAGATATAAATGTATGCCCTAAAGGTCTGAATTCAGTGTGGATTAATTACACACAGGCTGAGGTTTTAGCATGACGGGTGTACGTACATGAGTTTACACCATATGGATGTCAAAGAGGGATAAAACCACTGCTCATCCTATCAAAACTTCCTTTGGAGCTTGGTTCAGTCTTCCTTATGACTTGATAAAATTCAGCCCTGTGGCTCAGTCTAGACTTACAAAATAAGGCACTACGGTGCATTCAATTTGGATTGTTCCAGCAATGGCACTTCATGCACAGACACAAGATTGCTCTGGCCTGCAATTTAGTCACATCTTGGAGTTATAAAACTGTTGGCTGGCATGTGTCTGCCTCAGAGTTACTTCTTTAAAAGATACAATTTGTCCTTATAAAACTTGATTACAAGTAAAATTTAGGACTGAATCTAGATTTGCACATGTTCCAGCATGTTAACTTCTACTGGTTCTTCTAAAATCTGATTATTTGCTAATGCTGTATTCAACCTTAAATAAAACCAGATAATAACCATATAAAGTAAGTGTGAAACTGCAGTATCACTATCCAGCAAACAAACTATACAAAAGGTAGATATTCCTGTATGAGCAGTTAAGAGTGCTTCCCTTTCCCCTGGCAATTGAGGGCGGCAGACATAAAGTGTTTTTTGAGACCATAATGTGTTGAGGACAAATTCTCTTTTGTGTCTTTGTCTTATGAACAGCTACCTAAGGAATCACTATTTGAAAAAAATCGGCTAAGGATTCTGTTTTGCCCCGTTTTTTTAAGGTTCACTGTCTTCTTCTTGAAGAGTTTTTAAAAATATATGACAGTTGAGACAGACTAGGTAGGCCTAAGTGGAGAACTCTTTAAAAATATGTTCCCTATTTTGTGCAAGATCCCTAAATAATCCAGTAAATCAACCAAAACCTCACACAGTCAGCCACAAATGTACTACTTTTGCGTAACCAGACCTCGTGTCCACAGCACTGTGTCAGAGTTGGAGAATGGTCTGGCTACACTTTACGATCACTCTGATATAGAAGACAAAAAACACACCTCAGTTTGCTTGTATTAATTTAAACCAATCAGTTGTTCTGGGCAGTGCTAAGCCCAGGATGTAGCAATGATGCCCCTGCAAAGTAACAACGGGGGATTTGTTTTGGCAGAACATTTGCAGGGAAGTGAGTCCTGTCATTTAAATTCACCAAAAAAATCCAAGCAGAGCTGCCTTCCTGCATGATTCAAGTCTTCAGCAAAACTTGATATTTTCAGTGTGTGGCCTCAGAGGCTCAGAGGTTGTTGCTTCCAATAGTGATTTTAAAAATGGTAAGAAGCATAGCGGTGATGGGGAGGAGCAAGGGCAGACATGGCAAACTTACACTTGAGGTGCACACCCTTCCTTTAGGTGGCCAGACTACAATTTACACTGAAATTGCACACTGCTAATAGAAAATGTACACATTGAGTTTTTGTATGTCTGGCTGCATCTTATGCTGAGAAGAGAAGAACAGTCTCGTCAGACTCACTGAATCGTCCCCTCTGGGAAGAATATAAGTTGTGCTACAGAATGCAATAACAAGAAATTACCTCATGAAATCTTAATTAAACAGGTTGTTGAAGCGGAGCAGTGAGAAAATGCCACATTAGTACCTGAGGATGTTTCTGTGTGGGCATCCAACTGAGGTGGAGTGCTGTCCGGTGTATGCAGGGAAACAGTTCTGCCATTTACCAACCTGGAAATTATGAAGTGGGAGGAGAAAATGTGGAACATTACAGCAACATTTTGCAACTGTTTTACCGTAAAATAACTGCTGTACAAATATTTTAATGACACATCGACTTGCAATAGAGAGAATGGACTATGCCTCATTTCCCCCCGAACTGTTGTTCCTGCACTATATCAGGTCAATTCAACAGAGGTTTAGCTACTAGCTGGACAATTAGGCTGCATTTCAAAGTTGGACAATGGGCGACATTGAAAAATGAAGCCAATACCTTCAACCTGCATTCTTTCTAAAAGCCAGCAGGGGGCGACTCCTCTGGTTGCAAAGAGAAGTTAAACTTTATAGAAGTCTTTGAGAAAATTACCCTTCTTCTCTCATTATTTATTACCTCATTAAAAATTTTCCAAATTAGTTTATGGCCTCAACTACAATTTTTATGTCTCCTTCAACACAGCATGTAGTTAATTTTGTAAATTATGTTTACATTTAGAATAACACAGACCATAAAGCAGATTATGCTTTAGGGCATGGCTATCTTGCGATTGACACATTGCTACCATATGGGCATGTATAGTGTACTAATTTTTCTGTCAGATCCACACCTTCGCCATGTTCTGTTTCAAAAATTGCAATGGTGACAGAAAAATGCCAAACTTGAGAGCTGTAATTTACAAACTCTGGCTTGCCATTCCCGTTAGATCTGCTTTACTCAACTGGTAATACAATGTCTAGCAATGGCCTCTATTATATGTAAGTGAACTGTGTTGGTGTGGGAATATCCTTTGTTTTTATATAGTGTTGGTCGCCGTGATTCATAATCCAACAGTTCAGAGTGTGAATGGTAACTGAGGCTCACACAATACTAAGGTGCAATGGACAATAACGTACCTGGTTTGTACTAAGACGATATTTTTGTGTTTGTTGCACGAGTAACTTATTCCACTGCCCTTCAGCGCTTACTCAATGCTAACAAACAGTCCGGCAGAATTTAATGCAACAGCATCCTGTAGTTACCACTTGTGTCCACAGAGGCCGCTGTTGTCACTGATTAAGAAAAGTCACATAGTGTTGCTTTAATTGAGTCGTCTGAAAGTTCAAGATAAGACGGAATGAAATTGCAACCACAAGACCTGACCACGAGATTGAGAGTTCAAAGGATGATAGCACTAATAAACCCCGGTGCCTGTCTGTAAAATACAATTAACTCTCGGCATGTTGTCACTGCCCAGGATCACATCATTACAGTGTTTCGCTATTGTTCGCTTTGTTGACCTAATCTTTTATAAATTAAGAAGACGAGTTGTTCTGAGGGTTTTCTAGAACCTCTTAGCCTCCACTAATCATGAGAGCTTAAATAGATGGCGCTTCACATTTAAAGCTGCTGAATGTCAAGGAGTAGTGATTGTGCAAGAGAGGGAATCACCCGCGTGATGAAAAATGGCAGAAAAATGAATCAGGTCACTGAATGACACAGTTTTAATCCAAACTGCTCCACTTAGACCATCTCTTGGGAACATAAAATGGAAGAGGCGAGGAAGAGGAAGGAGAGAGTTAGAGGAAGGAGGCTGAAATTAGAGGGAATTAAGAAGAGAAAAGGGGAAAGCAAAGGGGGAAAATTAATTCAAAAAAGAGGGATGTATTACTCTTTTACAAACTCTGCCAACTCTGATTTATTTCATAGGGGGGACACTATTTCATCTCTGCAATATTCACATCTCATACAGGACTAATTAGTCGATCAAACATCAGTTGCTATTCTTGACATTATGCGGTTATAGTACCACTTTTTTATGAATTGAGCACAGATTTTCTACTACTTTTGACAGGTTTGGAAGCGACAGCGGTAAGACTGAAGTCTGCAGAGACCTCTGGTGTTTAAACCTGCAGTTGCACCACCTGAATAAGAAGTCATCACTTATGTGCTTTGATGCAACACCATGTTTAGGATGCAACATTATGGTAGGAGTGTACAGATGGTAAAGCCCACCCAAAGCCCTGATCTCAACATCACTGACTGAAGGTAAAAAGGAAGTCGCACTGATGTATGAAATTAACTGAATCAAAGCTATTTATAACATTATTTAGATTTCATTTTAGATTTCATTTAAGTGGCTTAAACGTATGCACATTGCTGCACACTGATAACACACATCTTTTCCGAGTATGTGTGTTGTGCTGTTTCCGCTTTGATTATCATCTGACACAACTGTAAATGTCT